GTGGTGATCATAGGCCTTGGTGACTGGTTTATCAGGTGAAGATGTCTCTATTTATGGTGGACCACACAGGCGTCTGACCTCCGTTTTACATTACGTAAGTATGGGTTCCCATTCATGGTCCCTCATAAGTAGTAAATTTCAGCCCAAATAAACTAGGTGCCCAATCCAGCAGAAAACATAACAAACCCACTTGGGACCATGTTAGATGTACCCACGAAGTTAACCACGAACAACTTACAGTGTTTCGTATAGTCAGATGTGAAGAATGCAAGTCCTTCAGAATTCCAAACACAGTTGTCTATTCATTCCATGATCTGTTTCGAACAATGCCATGTCCATTTTCAATACCAGTTTAAGCCCGAATGAGTCGTTTTGGTAGTTCCTTTGGTTACCGAACTCCGCATCTTATTTTATTCTCGGAGCAGTCAAATCACACGCTAATTATGGTGATACCGGAATCATTTCATAGGGTTTTTTCTCTTGTGTTTAAAGCCAACAAGACAAAGATGTCTTGAGTGAAACTCCATCATCCATAAATTGGATCCAAAACGTTGAGGCTATCAAAGCGTTCCAGAGGACTACCCTGAATAGCTCCAGTTGAGTAGTACACCATAATTTAGTTTTTGCTGCTCCACCCATGAACGTCAAACTCCTGTGAATCTAACAGAACCTATTCATGAAGCACCTTCAACCCGCCTCAACGAACAATCTAACAGCATCAAAGTCATAATGAAGACTGAAATTGAACGGAGAAGTAACTCATAAAACTGCAAACCATCGGTAAATGTTAATCATTCAGATATCAAAGACCCACATACCAAGATAGATACCTGTAATATCACGTTCATAAACCCAGCTGCGTAAATTATTCCCAGTTACTGCCTCACTTGTGGACAGAATAAAAAAGACTTTACTCAGACGACTTCAAAGAAGAGAAAGGAATCGACAGTGAGCAATGAACTATAAGAGCACTGAGCATAAAACCCTCATCAGACAACATATACCAAGGCAGCGAACGGGTCAACCTGTGGCTTCAGTTAGTATGATGTATAGGACTAGTACCTCTTGTGTCATCCTATATGCTGTAAAATTCTAATAAATAGACGTTTTCGAATCGACAATTTGCTTTCTAACAGCAAAAAATCCTCTCGCTTTACAACCCCGCGTGAATTGTGTGCGCGGAATTCGCTGCAGTCTCCAGCCAGGAAATATTGGACACATAGATATTTGGAGCACAAACGGTATGCCAGACCCAAAAGAAAGAAAAAAGTTCAAGCGCGGTTCTACCAAAGTCCTGCACGCACCTCAGCGGAAGCAGCAAAATGCCTTCGCTGGTGCACACATTGGCCGTTTGGGCTTCAGATCATACCCAGAACGTCTGCATGCCACAGCCTTAGACAGTGAGACGCGTCTGACCTGTATCAGTCGCAGAGTTGGGACCGGCATTCCATTTCATAAGTATTTGTCTGACCACACGAATAAATAAGCAGTCATCGGACACAATCCCAATTCCTAAGTGACCACCAACACGTGAACTCAGATGACAGTTCATATCCACATATCCGCCCATCGATAGTTTTGTAGCCTACCAGCCGTAGCATCTACGACACAGACCTACACACATTGACCCAGAATCTCTCTCTAAACACCATGACACAGGAGACCTGACTCATTTCACTGTTCATTTTGATGTATTTAATTGATCAAAAAAGGTTCCCCACGGAAGCAGAAACTCTGGGGGTACATATTCAACCGCGTTTTCATCTGCAAGATTTCCGAATAAAATCTCTTCAGTATGACTGACTGTAGTTGGCGAAGATACCGAAAACAGAGGTCATCTTTTACGGTAAAAGTGCTCCGAGTTCCACAATTTTGTCGTGTGACAAAAATTGCTATTGCTTCATAACTTTCTTCGATGACTTCGCGAAATGCTATAAGCGACCCACGAACCCCAATAAAGCACGTATGAACAACTGACCTGATGCTTAGCGAAATCGGTGTGTGCTAAACATTGGGAGAAATCTCCTGGAACACCAACAACACTATCGTATTCATATTTCGTGCGAGAAGACCACCGGTTCACAACTTAAAATACGCATTTCTGATCAGATTGAAATTAGCCTTTTATGGCGTAGCCTAACGGTGATACCCCCGGAGACAACCCATGGACCTCGCCATTGATTAGATCCCCCGTCACAGCAGTCATATTGCTATTTCCGGTCCCGTAACTAAAGCCACAAGCCCTCGCACCTGTAGACTTACCTTTATTCCATGTTATTGTCATTCATCACCCGTTTTAGGACACACTGGTTTAGTTCATGGTGAATGTATGGTGCATGTGAATTTGTCCATTTGAGGGCGGACTTGCACCCCAACCTCCAGAGCGCATTCATCTTTCAGTAGGCTAAACCCTGGCGATAGCGGACTCCTACATTCCGCAAAACGGTACCCAAATTTTCCATCTTGTCAACAAGTTCGACTATTCAAACAGCACACCTCAAAGTGTCGTTATTTACCGATCACCTGAATGAACGATTAACCCAAGAAAGTAGACGTAAGTGAATAGTTGAACATCATCCCCTAAGCAGTTATAGAAATAGGGACGCAGGATGCTCTTCATGCTGGCGGCCATGCTGACCATGTGACCTTTATGGCCGCTGAATTAGATGGCTGTTTGCAACTGTACACTTGTTCACACAGCCATGCTACACATGCACGGTACCGATTCCATACCATTAAGCACTGTAGCGTTCCGGTAGCAAAAGATGCGGTGCAAAAAACAGCAACTGTGGAACAGTGAGGCAAAATAACAATGACTTGCGTGATGGTACGACAATTTATGCGATGAGTGGTGGATTAGCAGGGTCGTGATTGCCGTCTAACCACATCTCATTCACATAGGTTTTTCACACCTAACTGGCAATGAGCTTGTTGGTCACGTCTTGTGGACCTCTTTGTTCTTCTGATGCAACGGACCACTCTTCCGACGATCAATCGTTACCTTTAATGTACCTTGGTATGGATTTCCTGATAGGGGGATTGTTTTTCCTTCGGTGAATGCCAAATGGTTTTTGGCATCTGAAGGCATTCCAGAAACCCAGTCCGAAGATTGACGCGTATGTGAAGGAATTTACTGTCCAAGTGGCTGTGATGGTTTCCTTCCACCATCCTATTTTCTCTAAACTCATCATATCAAGATTGGAACATAACGACTAGTCATCATAAACGGCATATACAAGTGTTTCTTCTTTATTTTCAGGGCAATACTGGATCAATCCTAGCGGTAACCCTCTTAATGAACCAACAAAGGCAATTTGCCGATCACGCAACAAAGAGACATGTATCAGCAGCAAGAAAAGTAGATTTGAGTCAAAAGAATGGTCAACAGCAACGCCGAACGAGAAGAGGATATGGCTTCAACATATCAACAACTTTGGTGAGGTATGTTTACAAAATTTCCCAAAGACCTAAAGTCTGGGGTATTCCATTTATCTAATTAAAAACAGAATAACAAGACCAATCTACGAAGTGTAGAAAAAAGGCAAAACGACCTATACTTATGAGACCGTGTGTCGCAGAGGTGTGCATTCACAGACAGTAGATGATAAGTGTGGGCAAAAACTTGCATCCTGTGAATACCTAACGTTTCTCTCTAACCCTTCAAATGGCTATCCATTAATGGACAGCCAGGACTGATTTTCTCGAACATTCTCAAGACATCCTGCTTCCGTCCAGCGATGTTACGAAACTTGCTACTTGTTACCATGCACTGGCAGAATGTTAGTGGGAGCAGTAATAATAAGATCAATCGGAGACAGCGAAATCAGTGCTAACACTGGTGTTTGACTGTCGTAAAACCACAAGGTTTTGTTGATTATACATAAAGCCTTAAAAGCGAAAGGAAGGTAAAAGAGTGAATGGAAGTGGGACATGGTGCTGGCCCGTCTCAAGCATTCTGGGTTGTCTAAACCTCCAAGCAATCTGCTAGACAATCTGGAAAGAAACTGAGAGCACGAATTTCACCGACATCTATCTGCCGCTACTTCTCGTAATGTCTCCAACCAAGAGTCGAAGGGTCACGAGTACCCAATCCTGGAAAGGCGGACCGTACTAACAACACCTGAACTCCTTGTGGTTCTGCTTGACATCCTGCTCGAATCCACTTTACACCTATTTGCTAACAGTGATAACAATTCAGAACTGGCAACCACAGCTGTTCGCTGGGGTAACGCTACGCTCTGCAAGGTTATATCGATTTTTCGGTAATAGTCGGAGTATGAAAGCTCAGTGAACTTCAAGTTCATTCATCCACGAACGGAAACTAGTTATGGTAAACTGAGCAACCTGTCGGCCTGTCCCTTTGCAAATTAGTAAACGTTGATCCGCTAATTTGGATTATAGTATCTAATTATGCTTAGGTATTAGGGGTCTACGCAACCAGTTTAGATATCCGTGTTCCTCTCTTTACTTTCCCAAACCCCTGCCTGATACAAGCACACCACTCTCACCTAATGCTTTTTCCACAGTTCAAGTCACTATTACCTGCTCATACTCTGATTACATTCCAGACACTACCAAACGCGCAAACAAAATGGCCCGTGGAAACTCAATACCTACGCTCATGCATATTGCAGCGCAAAATATAGCCACCTAAAAAGGCCGAAAAAGTGAGGATGGTAACGAACTAACTGTACAATACCGTATGGTGAACATGAAACGAAAGCTTGGTCTGCACTGCACAGCAAAGCGCAGTACTCACAGCTCTCGGAAAGGTGCCTGGTGATCAGGCACGTCGCCATCCGTGCTTTCATAAACAATGTTACATGTTTTTGTTCCTTGTGTAAACAGGACGTGTACCGCGCTGAGACCGTGTATTGATCTGTTTGGCTCACTTGAATTGCCGTCTATATGTCACCCTGGTTCAACACAAAAATCCATAAAACCTACTCACTACAGGTTCGCAGATAACGAAATTCTCGAGAAAATTATGATACACACAAAAATCCGCGACTGACCGGGGGCGCGAAATTCGAGCCGCAAAATAATAGAGAAAAGTTCTGCACTGGTACAGTGTGATTGTTATCGAAATCTTTTCACGACCTATGGGTAACGTACAAAGATTATTCAGATTAAATGAAGCACTGTGCTTTCATCCCATTTTTTCTTTGTGCGCAGTTTGATTATGCCATTGATTCAGAACAACTGAACTTCTTGAAGCTATTGAGCGACAAGGCCACACAACAAATAATCTTGCGATGCATGAAACAGGAGGAACAGTCATTACAAGGAAACGAGACAACCTCAGCTCCTCCTCAACTGGTTCAGTTGCTGGCAGACGACGATACGCTTTTGTCTCCTTCCGCGCGAAAGCGCAGAGTTTCCATAACACAAAACACCTGTGGATTGGTAAGCAGTTTGGCCCGTTTGAATGTTTGTGGAATATGATCAAAATTGCTTATAGTATGCGACCAGATCGAGCGTTCGAATGATTACCCCTTACAGGTGGGGATAAAACCAGCACGTCTACTTACGTAACTCCCTTCCCGTTGACTGTATTGGTCCTAGTTTTCTATAACTGAACAAAACTTTATGAACACATTCCAATAGGGGTGAAGTAATACAGTATTAAGGAGCTGAAAAAACTCGTTGACTGTACTGGTCCTAGTCTTCTATAACTGAACGAAACTTTATGAACACATTTCAATAGAGTTGAAGTAATGCAGTATTAAGGAGCTGAAAAAATGCACCAGGCAGACTAACTAAGCTCATCTTCTGACTTTTTTCTAAGTCAGGTCATCTGTAGTGATTGTCTGCGTCTTTGGACAAATTTCCGCGCCTCTCCCACCATACTGTAGCTTGCACAGAGATTTTGAGACCCTAAACTTTAAGTCCTGTATGTTAGGCAATCTTATTTGGTTGCCAAATGAAGTTCGACCTGTCATAATGGACAGAAGTGAAGCAAGCGTTAACAGCATTATCATCGTTGTCCTCGCTTTTGGGCTCTTCACGGCTTGTTGACGTCATCTCTTTCGTCGGTCACTGCATTTACATTCTCCCGATGATATCAAGCATTTTCAAGTGAATGACAAGCTAGGCATTTAAATGCTATTCTACATAAATCACGGTAAAAGGTAGCTAAAAGTCACAGCAAAATAAACATGGTTACCGAATTCTTCCCCCTTACATGCCTTCAGACAATCGCCATTGATAGTTGACAACTTTTTGCACTATGAAAAAGGTACTCCTCCGCATGATTTTTTTAATTCTTTGATAGGGATAATTCCGCGATTCAGCTTCAAGCGACGTGAATGCCGCAAAGGGACACAAGACTATCCAGTAATAGAACGTTTTACGCTTACAGCATAACGCGTAGGTATAAGACAAGAGGTACCTTAACAAGCAAATTCACCTTTTCGTCTCGGGCTATATCTCCAATCAAACAACAAGTTAACGCTACCGAATAATGTTCCTTTTGGATACAGAATAATGCACAAACGCAGCTTGTCAGTCGTAAGGCACTCAAATAAGGTCCTAGTAGTATAGTTTCAGTCCTACAGCCTGAAACTGCTCGGAACCGGGTGGATGGATGGACCATATTTCCGTCAATGGAGCCTGGAGACAATCTTTTGAACCATGAGCAGTGCTGTCATGTCTTCGTTTTGCCTGTCACTTCTGTTAAGCCAGTCTAAGTGACTTAGTGAGAGATCGCATCTAACCACAAGCAACTGGTCTTAAATGGTGTGAAATGTGCCAAAAGGGATTCCTCTGAAAACGTCTATCCTCATTACTTATAAGCCAGTCGGATTGACGGACACGGCTTCACATATGCTCGTTTTCGACTGTTGAAGTTAACCGTCATTTTCCTTTGTTGAGCGATCCGTCGCTTGATGCTCCACTCATTTGCCTTCTCCTTCAGAGCGCCGAAGGAGCGACCGTGGCCTTCGTCGACAGCCGACCAAGTCTTCTACCACTGAGGGACATTCAGCTGACGATAGACACGTCAACCACAATCAGCGTGGAACTGGGTGAAGCTTGCTTTTCCTAGTAACACCAAGCATTCTGTATCCCATTTTTGTCCGAACCCATGTCAGATTCAAAACGGATCAGTCAAAACACCATGCGACTCCTTAAAACAACGGTTATTTCGTCCGAAACGGGACAAGTAACCTTTGAAGGCGCTTGTGCTGTTTGCTTAGTGTCCTGTACAGGAAAAAGATTTGAAGGCTTTTGTGAATCTTTTCTCCTCAGTTTCTCAGTGTTGCCAGTGCGTTGGTGAGGAGTAAAGAAGAAGGACCACCGGGAGTTGAACATGTTGGTCATAATTCAGATGTTCAGTTAGTCTACAGCTGAATTCACTTGCGACGGCTAACTAGAGCACAGTATTACACTCCGGTAGCCAGGAGCAAAAGGTTCAGTAACAACCTGGTCAGCAGCAACAAAACAGCTGATTCGGGAAGAAATCATCTGTGATAGGCTCCATTTTCCTATTCCAAATAGTGTAGTGTGATTATGGGAACGTAAATGAAGTATGAATCTATCCAGAAGGTTAACCGATGTCTCAGGCTGGTGAACTACCTACTCAAATTGCAAAATGACATTATTCAGAGTCACAAACACCGGAACGGTGCACCGAGGCCAGAAAAATCGAGCTCTGCCGGTTACATGTCGGGGAGAACATAATTCACACTAGCGTGCTTGCCATCAGCGACGAAGGACAAAAATATGACCCAGTAATAAATCAGTTTCGCGAAAGCAGTCGACTCAGACAGGATATGGTTCGTATCTTACTGCAGACACATAGATAGACAAAATGGTACAGAGAGTGATATTTACTTTTGGGGACCGAGCACATAATGAATGGAACGCTATTTAACTATACTTAAATCCTTAAAGTGGAAACAAGAGAAGACAAAGGGGGAAAACTAGTGCATCCTGAGGTAGTCACACCTTCAACCCTTAAATCACACGGACTGGAAAGAGACTAACAGCTGAAAAGCCACTCAGATCAATCAGCCGCTATTTCTTGCAATTCCAAGGACAGATTTCGGAGCTGATTACGCATCAGACTGCGTTCTAGTCCAAGGTTCCGTTGCCCGAACGGATTCGGTGCTCGGTCAGTCTATCTGATCCAAAGGACTTTGCGTACATACTTTAAGTCTGTAGAACATCCAGTTTTCACTGTCGTACAGCAAAGATTGCACAATACCTCAACGCATTGTAATCCGTTCGCAACTGACGACTGCCCCAAACGCATTTCCCAAGGGGACTAAATGCCGTGCTGGCCCTTGCAACTCGTTTATTCATTTCGCTGTCAAGCGTTGCGTGAATAGTGTGCTGCCCATGTATCAGAAATCCCTACAGCACGTCACTTCACAACAACGTGGTTAAAAGAGTAGCGTTTTAGGTTGAACGTCAGGTGCAGGCTGATAGAAGATAGAGTGAACTGCGGTTGAAGAAAAAACAACGTATTGGTCCACAGTAGCGTAAGCCCTCACAAACGGTAGTATGCAGCATTTGACCTGGTCGGCATTGCGTTATCCGGTTACATAAGCCTAATACAATGTAATAGACACGTGTGTTAAGATAAATGGTGGGGAAGAAGTGACTAAAGCATGTAAAAAGTTATCTGGATTCATTTTTATAAAATCAACGACAATACCACTCATGTCGATTCTGTGCCACTTCTGAAAACGCCTTCGATCCAGCACAGTCATCTCTTGTGCTCTGAACTGGGGGATTTAGATGACCCAACAAAAACCAACCAAACAGTGTTGGCCTTTGTTCATTTGCGCTAGGTCATCCTTTCGAATCCCGTTTGGTTTATTCAACCAAATACAGGGCTTAGAAATAAGGTCCAGCTGAGGAAATCACAAATCAGCTAGCTTATGGGCGTATTTTAATCCCCATATTCAAAGACGAACATTATTCGCTATTCCCATCAGACGAGCGACGATTCACAGGTAACGATGACCGAAAGAAACCAGTCTACTGAAGTCTTCAACCCAAAGAATCTCACATCAGCATATCACAGCACGAACAGATGCACCGTATGAGCATTCTAGAGTCGTGCCTCGCCAAAGACGATGGAGAGTGACAAGTTCGTCTCTAGCTTCAGCAACACGAATAATTATTTCGTCACAATAGCCGTGCTAAAGCAGTTCCATCTTTCTCGATGCGAACACGGCTCTATCGAGTGTAAAGATGGGTGTACAAACTGATCAGTTGTGAACCATAAGCTCACGATTTTGCGGGTAGCATAGTTCGAATCGACTGGTGTGATGCAATTTGAGCCCCACCATGGCCATCACGTCACATCGTCCTAATATTTCATGCTATCTAAGTGGAGCTCCAGGAAATAACGCCAAGATATGCTGAGTTGGCAGAAATCCTTTTTAAGAAGTCTATAAGGAAACTGAATAAAAGTGGAAGGCTCGATGAACTTTCTCGAACCCTCCCACACAGATGAAAAGGCAAGAAAACCTCGCCGAAAGACGTGCGCGCTCCATGTTATGCGACTGCGACGTTTTCATGTTGACGGAGACAGCCCGAGACAGCCTTAGTCTTAGGTAGCCCTGTGAAATGCGTCGAAAACACATTTGACATCCACAAATACTAACACCGTCGGCCTTCCCTGTGCGGCGCAGTTCCAGCATTTGATTCCAGTTGGATATGCAATCCATACACTTTGCAAAAGAATCACCTCGTCATTCATGAATAGTGTTCACACTAATGATACGTGAAGCGATTGCGGTCAGCAATTTAAGAGCGTTCATCGAGCTCATACGGTCATACAGTCATTACAACCATTTTCCGTAAATGTGAAGGTTGGCCAGTGTCCCGACTAGCATGCGTCCTTCTAGGGGTTCAATTAGATCCAAACAAGGTGGTAAGGTGTGCAGTCACCACCGGGCCATCCTTGAAAAATGAAAGCCAGAGCTGGTTCAAGCCCGGGGGGTTCGTAGTTTTAGGGCTGACTGCCCTTTGGTGACCTCATGAGAAGTTGATGAACCTGTATTGATGACTGTATGCGCTGAACGGAGGTTGATGGAGCAACCTTGTATTAACTGCTGATGAGCGCTAGTAAGATGGCTGCCAGATTGACTCTGTCACATTCAATGTTTTAAGTTCTGAAGTCTGAATTCGTTGGGAACACCTCCGAGAATTCTTAGCGGCAAGCGCAACTTCCACGCCTTCGGAGTTTAGTCTTGATTAATAAAGGTAGACAAGCTGGCTTGGTTCGTTCACGACACCATGGCGAGAAGTGTTGAAAATTGACACAGGAGAGTAGCATGTCATTGTCTGCAATGAGCTTTGGTACACGTTTCGCAGTGTCACTGCAGTGGATGCCCGATATTCGACTGCCAGTGTACCAGTTTGAACTTTCACATCACGAGCCTACACTACAATATGGGTACCAACAAGTTCATCTGGTTGGAAATACAGCTCGTCTTCCACTCATTTTCGGCTGGTATCTCTAGTAACGATGACAATGAAAGCCTGAAGCCGCCTTCGAGACTCATGGCACAGGTTTAGAAACAACTAGGATTCATTAACCAAAGCCGATTTAGTAGGTGCGCTAAGCGTAATACCAGCACCAGTTATACCTTTATTTACCATTAGTTTTATCCTGTCACAGTAATGACTCTCCCCTGCCCATGAACAACACTCGATACATATTTTACCAGTCTTTCCATGACTGATAGGTTTTATTTGTCTACGTGACATGCTCCGTTTTTACTAAACTGACCGATCCGGTGACTCATCAACCTTCACATGTGAAGACCAAGTAGATCTTGGTCAATATGCCCACCTTTGTGTCACCGCTTGGCTTGATGTAAATATTGAACGATTCACGGAACATCTTCCGCAAAAAATTGGCCTCTCTCAATCTCATCAGTTAGAAACGATGTTTTCCTGGCACCGTTCGTCGACCTACTGAGTGACCCGAATTTCAAGGTCGTTGCTCGAAATCACAACACAACCTGTATGTTGATGAGTCATCTTCTGACTTTTTTCTAAGTCAGGTCATCTGTAGTGATTGTCTGCGTCTTTGGACAAATTTCCGCGCCTCTCCCACCATACCGTAGCTTGCACGCAGATTTTGAAACCCTAAACTTTAGGTCCTGTATGTTATGCAATCTTATTTGGTTACCAAATGAAGTTCGACTTGTCATAATGGACAGAAGTGAAGCTAGCGTTAACAGCATTATCATCGTTGTCCTCGCTTTTGGGCTCTTCACGGCTTGTTGACGTCATCTCTTTCGTCGGTCACTGCATTTACATTCTCCCGATGATATCAAGCATTTTCAAGTGAATGACAAGCTAGGCATTTAAATGCTATTCTTCATAAATCACGGTAAAAGGTAGCTAAAAGTCACAGCAAAATAAACATGGTTACCGAATTCTTCCCCCTTACATGCCTTCAGACAATCGCCATTGATAGTTGACAACTTTTTGCACTATGAAAAAAGTACTCCTCCGCATGATTTTTTTAATTCTTTGATAGGGATAATTCCGCGATTCAGCTTCAAGCGACGTGAATGCCGCAAAGGGACACAAGACTATCCAGTAATAGAACGTTTTACGGCTACAGCATAACGCGTAGGTATAAGACAAGAGGTACCTTAACAAGCAAATTCACCTTTTCGTCTCGGGCTATATCTCCAATCAAACAACAAGTTAACGCTACCGAATAATGTTCCTTTTGGATACAGAATAATGCACAAACGCAGCTTGTCAGTCGTAAGGCACTCAAATAAGGTCCTAGTAGTATAGTTTCAGTCCTACAGCCTGAAACTGCTCGGAACCGGGTGGATGGATGGACCATATTCCCGTCAATGGAGCCTGGAGACAATCTTTTGAACCATGAGCAGTGCTGTCATGTCTTCGTTTTGCCTGTCACTTCTGTTAAGCCAGTCTAAGTGACTTAGTGAGAGATCGCATCTAACCACAAGCAACTGGTCTTAAATGGTGTGAAATGTGCCAAAAGGGATTCCTCTGAAAACGTCTATCCTCATTACTTATAAGCCAGTCGGATTGACGGACACGGCTTCACATATGCTCGTTTTCGACTGTTGAAGTTAACCGTCATTTTCCTTTGTTGAGCGATCCGTCGCTTGATGCTCCACTCATTTGCCTTCTCCTTCAGAGCGCCGAAGGAGCGACCGTGGCCTTCGTCGACAGCCGACCAAGTCTTCTACCACTGAGGGACATTCAGCTGACGATAGACACGTCAACCACAATCAGCGTGGAACTGGGTGAAGCTTGCTTTTCCTAGTAACACCAAGCATTCTGTATCCCATTTTTGTCCGAACCCATGTCAGATTCAAAACGGATCAGTCAAAACACCATGCGACTCCTTAAAACAACGGTTATTTCGTCCGAAACGGGACAAGTAACCTTTGAAGGCGCTTGTGCTGTTTGCTTAGTGTCCTGTACAGGAAAAAGATTTGAAGGCTTTTGTGAATCTTTTCTCCTCAGTTTCTCAGTGTTGCCAGTGCGTTGGTGAGGAGTAAAGAAGAAGGACCACCGGGAGTTGAACATGTTGGTCATAATTCAGATGTTCAGTTAGTCTACAGCTGAATTCACTTGCGACGGCTAACTAGAGCACAGTATTACACTCCGGTAGCCAGGAGCAAAAGGTTCAGTAACAACCTGGTCAGCAGCAACAAAACAGCTGATTCGGGAAGAAATCATCTGTGATAGGCTCCATTTTCCTATTCCAAATAGTGTGGTGTGATTATGGGAACGTAAATGAAGTATGAATCTATCCAGAAGGTTAACCGATGTCTCAGGCTGGTGAACTACCTACTCAAATTGCAAAATGACATTATTCAGAGTCACAAACACCGGAACGGTGCACCGAGGCCAGAAAAATCGAGCTCTGCCGGTTACATGTCGGGGAGAACATAATTCACACTAGCGTGCTTGCCATCAGCGACGAAGGACAAAAATATGACCCAGTAATAAATCAGTTTCGCGAAAGCAGTCGACTCAGACAGGATATGGTTCGTATCTTACTGCAGACACATAGATAGACAAAATGGTACAGAGAGTGATATTTACTTTTGGGGACCGAGCACATAATGAATGGAACGCTATTTAACTATACTTAAATCCTTAAAGTGGAAACAAGAGAAGACAAAGGGGGAAAACTAGTGCATCCTGAGGTAGTCACACCTTCAACCCTTAAATCACACGGACTGGAAAGAGACTAACAGCTGAAAAGCCACTCAGATCAATCAGCCGCTATTTCTTGCAATTCCAAGGACAGATTTCGGAGCTGATTACGCATCAGACTGCGTTCTAGTCCAAGGTTCCGTTGCCCGAACGGATTCGGTGCTCGGTCAGTCTATCTGATCCAAAGGACTTTGCGTACATACTTTAAGTCTGTAGAACATCCAGTTTTCACTGTCGTACAGCAAAGATTGCACAATACCTCAACGCATTGTAATCCGTTCGCAACTGACGACTGCCCCAAACGCATTTCCCAAGGGGACTAAATGCCGTGCTGGCCCTTGCAACTCGTTTATTCATTTCGCTGTCAAGCGTTGCGTGAATAGTGTGCTGCCCATGTATCAGAAATCCCTACAGCACGTCACTTCACAACAACGTGGTTAAAAGAGTAGCGTTTTAGGTTGAACGTCAGGTGCAGGCTGATAGAAGATAGAGTGAACTGCGGTTGAAGAAAAAACAACGTATTGGTCCACAGTAGCGTAAGCCCTCACAAACGGTAGTATGCAGCATTTGACCTGGTCGGCATTGCGTTATCCGGTTACATAAGCCTAATACAATGTAATAGACACGTGTGTTAAGATAAATGGTGGGGAAGAAGTGACTAAAGCATGTAAAAAGTTATCTGGATTCATTTTTATAAAATCAACGACAATACCACTCATGTCGATTCTGTGCCACTTCTGAAAACGCCTTCGATCCAGCACAGTCATCTCTTGTGCTCTGAACTGGGGGATTTAGATGACCCAACAAAAACCAACCAAACAGTGTTGGCCTTTGTTCATTTGCGCTAGGTCATCCTTTCGAATCCCGTTTGGTTTATTCAACCAAATACAGGGCTTAGAAATAAGGTCCAGCTGAGGAAATCACAAATCAGCTAGCTTATGGGCGTATTTTAATCCCCATATTCAAAGACGAACATTATTCGCTATTCCCATCAGACGAGCGACGATTCACAGGTAACGATGACCGAAAGAAACCAGTCTACTGAAGTCTTCAACCCAAAGAATCTCACATCAGCATATCACAGCACGAACAGATGCACCGTATGAGCATTCTAGAGTCGTGCCTCGCCAAAGACGATGGAGAGTGACAAGTTCGTCTCTAGCTTCAGCAACACGAATAATTATTTCGTCACAATAGCCGTGCTAAAGCAGTTCCATCTTTCTCGATGCGAACACGGCTCTATCGAGTGTAAAGATGGGTGTACAAACTGACCAGTTGTGAACCATAAGCTCACGATTTTGCGGGTAGCACAGTTCGAATCGACTGGTGTGATGCAATTTGAGCCCCACCATGGCCATCACGTCACATCGTCCTAATATTTCATGCTATCTAAGTGGAGCTCCAGGAAATAACGCCAAGATATGCTGAGTTGGCAGAAATCCTTTTTAAGAAGTCTATAAGGAAACTGAATAAAAGTGGAAGGCTCGATGAACTTTCTCGAACCCTCCCACACAGATGAAAAGGCAAGAAAACCTCGCCGAAAGACGTGCGCGCTCCATGTTATGCGACTGCGACGTTTTCATGTTGACGGAGACAGCCCGAGACAGCCTTAGTCTTAGGTAGCCCTGTGAAATGCGTCGAAAACACATTTGACATCCACAAATACTAACACCGTCGGCCTTCCCTGTGCGGCGCAGTTCCAGCATTTGATTCCAGTTGGATATGCAATCCATACACTTTGCAAAAGAATCACCTCGTCATTCATGAATAGTGTTCACACTAATGATACGTGAAGCGATTGCGGTCAGCAATTTAAGAGCGTTCATCGAGCTCATACGGTCATACAGTCATTACAACCATTTTCCGTAAATGTGAAGGTTGGCCAGTGTCCCGACTAGCATGCGTCCTTCTAGGGGTTCAATTAGATCCAAACAAGGTGGTAAGGTGTGCAGTCACCACCGGGCCATCCTTGAAAAATGAAAGCCAGAGCTGGTTCAAGCCCGGGGGGTTCGTAGTTTTAGGGCTGACTGCCCTTTGGTGACCTCATGAGAAGTTGATGAACCTGTATTGATGACTGTATGCGCTGAACGGAGGTTGATGGAGCAACCTTGTATTAACTGCTGATGAGCGCTAGTAAGATGGCTGCCAGATTGACTCTGTCACATTCAATGTTTTAAGTTCTGAAGTCTGAATTCGTTGGGAACACCTCCGAGAATTCTTAGCGGCAAGCGCAACTTCCACGCCTTCGGAGTTTAGTCTTGATTAATAAAGGTAGACAAGCTGGCTTGGTTCGTTCACGACACCATGGCGAGAAGTGTTGAAAATTGACACAGGAGAGTAGCATGTCATTGTCTGCAATGAGCTTTGGTACACGTTCCGCAGTGTCACTGCAGTGGATGCCCGATATTCGACCGCCAGTGTACCAGTTTGAACTTTCACATCACGAGCCTACACTACAATATGGGTACCAACAAGTTCATCTGGTTGGAAATACAGCTCGTCTTCCACTCATTTTCGGCTGGTATCTCTAGTAACGATGACAATGAAAGCCTGAAGCCGCCTTCGAGACTCATGGCACAGGTTTAGAAACAACTAGGATTCATTAACCAAAGCCGATTTAGTAGGTGCGCTAAGCGTAATACCAGCACCAGTTATACCTTTATTTACCATTAGTTTTATCCTGTCACAGTAATGACTCTCCCCTGCCCATGAACAACACTCGATACATATTTTACCAGTCTTTCCATGACTGATAGGTTTTATTTGTCTACGTGACATGCTCCGTTTTTACTAAACTGACCGATCCGGTGACTCATCAACCTTCACATGTGAAGACCAAGTAGATCTTGGTCAATATGCCCACCTTTGTGTCACCGCTTGGCTTGATGTAAATATTGAACGATTCACGGAACATCTTTCGCAAAAAATTGGCCTCTCTCAATCTCATCAGTTAGAAACGATGTTTTCCTGGCACCGTTCGTCGACCTACTGAGTGACCCGAATTTCAAGGTCGTTGCTCGAAATCACAACACAACCTGTATGTTGATGAGTAAAAGTAAAAGATCAATGACGCAAGACGACAGAAACGCTCGTTCGCACTCAGGCATGTAGTCTATATGACGAAACGAATCCAAAATCGGTGACTGCAACGTAGATACATCGTCTACTATCCAAGACATTTAAGGTAAAAGCCCTCTGAGCAACGGTTGATGGGACAGGTTTGAAAGAGATAAAGCATTTTCTCCGTAAACAGAACCCCACTGCATCTAGTGCTTGTAGACTGATGCATCAAGGGTCGCCTGCCCAGAGCGTGGTTTCGACTTAAGTGGATAGACATAAAAACCGTGCAGGCATGTAACAGTAACATGAAGGCGAGAACAGCGATGAACGGAAATGAACCATCTAGCGAATGAAGATTGTCAGATTCATGTGTGAATACGGTGACTGTGACTGCTGAAATCAACTTCAGGTCGAATAAGAACACCTTAACATGAGGTGACTAGATGAGCCACACGGATGTTTGACAGATTATGATACTTCGCTTGGTATTCTCACAACTCACTCAACCTTGAAATCGAGCACACGCAACTTGGGTAATGAAAACACGCATCAATTCGACACAAACGTCCAGGTCATCTTCGTTGAGGTAAAACAGTAGCAAGTTTTTGAGTACATTTGGAGGGCAGTGCACACGCTTGCGACTACTATCATATCACCTAATCTAGACTAGCCAACGGTTCTCGTCAAACCAGTGCATGTCTGATCACCGCTTTCATCAATTCTTATTTAAACCAAGTTGCCGATAGCACAGACAGCACCTCAAGTTGTACAATAACTGCGTGGAAATACAAAGTAACCGAACTACTTCTGGCCAAGAACGAGTGCAAAATATGGAACGCCTTGGGTTAAAATCTTAACATATGTTTGTTCACAGTGACCAGCTAAGTGTCCTCTAGGGAACCTATGGATGGAAGACTCGTTCAGTCTCGGAGGTATAACGACCCCAATAAATCTGTAATTATTCTGTACCTAGCGTCAGCGTATGGGGGCTTATAGGTTGCATATGAACACACATGTGTCAACCCATAACCATCTTTGGTACCGTTTGCGCGAAGAGCGGAGATTGACCTAGTCAATAACAATCGCATCCAGTCGAACTGAGTCGAATGTTATTTCTCCACATCCCTACTGTGCCTTGGCGAAATTTATTACTTAAGGAGTGGGAAGCTGGAGTTAAGGGACGAACTTATAATATGGCCATATCAAAACTTCGCACACTATGTGGAAATGAGATCTTGAGTCAAAGTATTTTATATTATGATACATGTGTTTTACACCACTCGGTAACCCATTCACAAATGCGAGCCACGTTGTGTTCTTGGTCCTCCCAAGTATTGTTTTGCAATTCGTACACAATATTCTCAGCATAGGATTCACGAGCTTCATCCAGTATGACCTGTGAAGCAACGGAGAGGAGTGTTGTGTAATTTATCGAGCTGTTGACAACGAGGATACGATACTGAAAACAGTAAACCCGTTGAGAAAAGTTGATAGTGCCTAGAATGAAAACTGATTTTACAGCAATACGCCAAAACATATGGCTCCTTAAAGGGGCTAGTGACGGGTGGATCTGCAAGGGATGCAATGAACGGACCAGCAACTGACCTCTCCGACCGTTCATTAGTAGTCGATTAATTGTTTGAATAGGTCAGCAGCTGACATGAGACAGTAATCGGTTCGATTCTATATTTAAGTCAGATAAACAATCGGAACCAAAGCAGTACTCCGGAAAACCATTAAAGACTGCATATCAAATGAGCCATGGATAAGGCCACCTGGTGTCCGCAGCGGTAACAGAAACGGAAGTATAAGGCGGGAGACAATCACTTTAAAGTGAAGCTGTGTACCAAATTAATGCAGTTGCTACACAATAAACGACAATATGTGAATACCCCAATGCATGTACTGGTGGACTGACNTAACCATCTTTGGTACCGTTTGCGCGATGAGCGGAGATTGACCTAGTCAATAACAATCGCATCCAGTCGAACTGAGTCGAATGTTATTTCTCCACATCCCTACTGTGCCTTGGCGAAATTTATTACTTAAGGAGTGGGAAGCTGGAGTTAAGGGACGAACTTCTAATATGGCCATACCAAAACTTCGCACACTATGTGGAAATGAGATCTTGAGTCAAAGTATTTTATATTATGATACATGTGTTTTACACCACTCGGTAACCCATTCACAAATGCGATCCACGTTGTGTTCTTGGTCCTCCCAAGTATTGTTTTGCAATTCGTACACAATATTCTCAGCATAGGATTCACGAGCTTCATCCAGTATGACCTGTGAAGCAACGGAGAGGAGTGTTGTGTAATTTGTCGAGCTGTTGACAACGATGATACAACATTGAAAACAGTAAACCCGTTGAGAAAAGTTGATAGTGCCTAGAATGAAAACTGATTTTACAGCAATACGCCAAAACATATGGCTCTTTAAAGGGGCTAGTGACGGGTGGATCTGCAAGGGGGAATACAATGAACGGACCAGTAACTGACCTCTCCGACCGTTCATTAGTAGTCGATTAATTGTTTGAATAGGTCAGCAGCTGACATGAGACAGTAATCGGTTCGATTCTATATTTAAGTCAGATAAACAATCGGAACCAAAGCAGTACTCCGGAAAACCATTAAAGACTGCATATCAAATGAGCCATGGATAAGGCCACCTGGTGTCCGCAGCGGTAACAGAAACGGAAGTATAAGGCGGGAGACAATGATTTTAAAGTGAAGCTATGCACCAAATTAATGCAGTTGCTACACAATAAACGACACTATGTGAATACCATGTGCTGGTGGACTGACTAAACGTAAGCTAGAGTATATGTGAATACCCCAATGCATGTACTGGTGGACTGACTAAACGTAAGCTAGAGTACAGAGATCTACATGGTCCCAGCATAAGGAGGAATAATAATGGTGAACGATTGTTGGAATTATGTGCTACCCATCGACTAGTCGACACTTCTGACACTATCAACATCTGGAACTTGGTGTTCAATCTCTTCAGAGTTCACCATGAGGTTGTCAAGCTGAGGTGAGCGCGTCAAATAACCAAACTTCCGCACATCCCAAAGGTTAGGTAACCTGTTCTCCTATGAACGAAGAGTCACTACTGGGCGGACACGGTGACTGGTCGGGGACCATGTGAATCTATTTTGCCTTCTGTGACAGGCCTTAAAAAGAATACCTGGTCAATCGACTTCGGGCGCTCCGGTATTTAGGGACCACCAATAACGCTACCCATCACCAGAAATATACTTGAGGTCATCAAAAGTTTAAAATCCTTGGGAAACCTTGCAACACATTTCCACGGTTTCGACCAGTCAATTTTTCTTCATGTTAAGAAACCCGGCATGTGGGTGCCGAAAATTGACATTAGGGGCACAAATACACCAACAGTAAAAACTGGTGCTTAACTGCGATTTGGCGAGGCACAAAACCCTCATAAATAAATTCCCAAAGGCGGAATCGCTACAGGAGGAAGTTCCATTTTGCTGGCGAAAACGGAGATGAGGAAAACCGAAAAAAAAACATTCGAGCATCGCGCTGAATCAAGACACTGTCAGTGAAAATCACATCCTCTTCAGTTGCGAAAACCGTGTACATACGCAGAAAACACGTGACCGCCATATGCTTTCGTAAAAATTACTGGTCTTGACCTAGTGCCAACTAAATGGAGATAAGGAACACCGAAAAAACATTCGAGCATCGTGCTGAATCAAGACACTGCCAGTGAAAATCACATCCTCTTCAGCTGCGAAAACCGTGTACATACGCAGAAAACACGTGACCGCCATATGCTTTCGTAAAAATTACTGGTCTTGACCTAGTGCCAACTAAAGAAACCAAGCTTTGTGATGGTTTTTGCGGGGTGTATTGTTCAGTTTCACATCACTCGTTAACCAAGCTTTGTTAATCAAGTCTTTTGTTTTTCTGTTCACGCATCACAACGGTAGCGAAGCATCAGTGCTGAAGATTGTTGTTTTGCTGTTTATGGTCAATAACAAAGTTGAAGAGGGATGGTGAGAGAGAGAACGACCTTGTCTTACACCACTGGGAGGGGCGAAATTAGTTGACAGCTTGTCGTATGCGCCCAACGAGTTTGCATACAAAGCCTCCATAAAAAACAAAGATTAAGGGTGGACATCCTTTATCGCCATGCAACGCCAGTCTGTGAAGATCTAAGGAGTCGAAAGCAGACTTCAGATAGAGAAAAAAGTCATCACCATCACCATCGACAGCATGACATTCGAAAGCAGCAGATAGAGAAAAAAGTCATCACCATCACCATCGACAGCATGACATCAGTGTTCACCACCGATGCTTCACTGCCCTACAAACAACAGAGTAGCACCCACTCAAGCGTTTCGTGATCTCCTTCATACTCCTCTGCCAAGTCAAGGGTTGGCCACCTCTCTGTTCACGCCACTCTGAACTGAACTGGGCAAACAGCACTCTCTTCGGCAAACGATGGTTCGGCATACGTAACGCATGTCCCAACCAACGCAGCTTCTGGTGCTGGACACATTATTCAATGGAAGTACCCGTTACACAACCGAAAACGCGCTATCTAACTGCCTCATTACGGATTCGCCGACACCAACCACCTCTCTGTTACGCCACTCTGAACTGGGCATGGCAAACAGCCCTCTCTTCGGCAAACGATGGTTCGGCATACGTAACGCATGTCCCAAACCACGCAGCTTCTGGTGCTGGACACATTATTCAATGGAAGTACCCGTTACACAACCGAAAACGCGCTATCTAACTGCCTCATTACGGATTCGCCGACACCAACCCACACGAGCTATGGTTCTGAGACAACGATTGTCGAGCACCTGAAGACGTCTCAGTTCCGCTGCTCGAATAGGCCAAGTCTCACAGCCATATAACATAACAGCCCGTACTGTAGCTTGATACACACGTCCTTCAGATTCAGGGATAAACCATTCTGACGCCACAGGTGTCTCAAGTTAGCAAACGCGGCCCGAGTCTGTCACCTCATCTGTCACACTACAATCAGAACTAATACAACTTCCAAGACACGTAAAACGCTCCACAACTTCCAGTACCTCTCCCTGGATTGTAAGGGGAGTGTTCAGTGACTGCACGTCCACAAGCATGACCTTACACTTTGTAGGTGCAAAGTGCATACCAAAGGACGGGATGACTTTGGTCAGTTCATCCAAGAATACTTGCGCCTTTTCCTCCTCTTCGAACATGAGAACGATGTCGTCTGCATATTCCA